AAAAGGCAATAACAGGAAATCCTCTTCCCGAACGCCAAAATAAGAACTCGAAGGAACGGGCCACCGGAGCTATGCGTTTCCGCAGGGCCGAACAGCTCCATTCTAACTCTCCCGCTGCACATCCCCAGCCATGCCATGGGTGAGGGTCTCCGCCCGGGCCGCCCGGAACAGAGGTCCGCTGTGCGCGGCCGTCGCGAGCTGGCAGGCCGCGGACGTCGGCTCGTTAGTCTCCAGTTACTGCGGCCTGTTTTCAGCCGTCGGCCGGCTCGTGTCTGGGCATACGGCCGCCGGGCTCAGCCGGCCTCTCTGCCGATCGGAGCCGGCGCGCGCGCCCGCCGGCATGGAAATCGGACATTAGAGGCCCTGCCGCCCGGCGGCGGGTGTCAGGTGGCGGCCCAGCGACGTCACTGTGCCCCCAGGGTAAACGCCGGGCCGCTACCGACGCGGGCTCACGCTCCCTCACCAGGGAACGCCGGGTCGCTGCCGAAGCGGACCCACTTCCTTACACGGGAAACGCCAGACCGCTGCCGAAGCGGACCCACGCTCCCTTACCGGGAACATCGACCGCTGCCGAAGCGGACCCACGCTCCCTTACCGGAACGTCGACCGCTGCCGAAGCGGACCCACGCTCCGTCACCGGGAACGTCGACCGCTGCCGAAGCGGACCCACGCTCCCTTACCGGGAACGTCGACCGCTGCCGAAGCGGACCCACGCTCCCTTACCGGGAACGTCGACCGCTGCCGAAGCGGACCCATGCTCCGTCACCGGGAACGTCGACCGCTGCCGAAGCGGACCCACGCTCCCTTACCGGGAACGTCGACCGCTGCCGAAGCGGACCCACGCTCCGTCACCGGGAACGTCGACCGCTGCCGAAGCGGACCCACGCTCCCTTACCGGGAACGTCGACCGCTGCCGAAGCGGACCCACGCTCCCTTACCGGGAACGTCGACCGCTGCCGAAGCGGACCCATGCTCCGTCACCGGGAACGTCGACCGCTGCCGAAGCGGACCCACGCTCCGTTACCGGGAACGTCGACCGCTGCCGAAGCGGACCCACGCTCCCTTACCGGGAACGTCGACCGCTGCCGAAGCGGACCCACGCTCCCTTACCTGGAACACCGGGCCGCTGCCAAAGCGGACCCACGCTCCCTCACCAGGAACGTCGACCGCTGCCGAAGCGGGCCCACGCTCCCTCACCGGGGGACGCCGGGCCGCTGCCGAAGCAAACCCACGCTCCTTCACCGGGGGACGCCGGGCCGCTGTCGAAGCGGACCCACGCTCCCTCACCGGGAACGTCAGACCGCTGCCGAGGCGAACGCACGCTCCCTCACCGCCGGAGACTGAGCGTGTCTGACGTGCGTGATGGTGTGGTTTGAGCCCGAACTGAGGCGGTTTGTCTCGGCTGACCGGCATGGGTCACAGTTTGGCCCTGGCGCGCTGGACCGGTGCGCTCGGCATGGGTCCCAGTCTGGCCCTGGCGCGCTGGACCGGCGCGCTCGGCATGGGTCCCAGTCTGGCCCTGGCGCGCTGGACCGGCGCGCTCGGCATGGGTCCCAGTCTGGCCCTGGCGCGCTGGACCGGCGCGCTCGGCATGGGTCCCAGTCTGGCCCTGGCGCGCTGGACCGGCGCGCTCGGCATGGGTCCCAGTCTGGCCCTGGCGCGCTGGACCGGCGCGCTCGCGATCTCCCGACGCCTGTTCGATACTTCGTCTCAACTTAGGTTAGCGGGCGGCACTGAGCTCAGCAGGGTTGAGGTGCGGGAGTCGCGCGGTCTTCATAAGCCCCTTGCGTTAAAGTGGCGGTTGTTGTGTTGTCTCACTTATTTTCAACGGAAACCGCCCAGCCACTAATAAAATATGGGCCAACGGCTGCAAGGCAGCCTCAAAGTAGCCCCATACATCGCCATGCTCCCGGCTATCGCGACACGTGCCCGAGTTGTGAGCTTGTTCGCTATAGTCGGCCTGACGGCGCGCCACTCCATTCGCCTTCAAGGACCGGGTATTGATGACGGTCACCTGAGTCACGTGCCTCTCTGCTTGAACAGCCACGTGACCACGAGGGGAGGACCGGTGCCGAGCTGATCGTCTCAGTGCCCTCCCTGCCCTCATTGTGGCTACTCTGGCAGCACTGCCGCGAAATGGCGTGACGTGCCATTCATGGATTACGGCTTCAAGAACTACCATCACTTTGGCATTCTACCTGGAGCTCCCTCGAAAGGTGTTGACAGTTTGCCCATTGGGGCAGCATCCTGAATATCACTATAGATACCTGTACAAAGCTACCGAACGGTTACGTCCGCAAATGCACCGACCATGGTTGGATGTTTTTTTAGCCCTCTCTCTGCGTTGCTGGGCATCAAGCGTGGTTGTAGGTCAGAACAGATTTTTCAGAGAAAATTAACGTGTGTTTATGTGTGCATGTGCGTGTGCATGTGCATGCATGTGTTTCAACACCTGAGGGTTCTGGGCTCCTCCGCTCGGAATGAGTGATCTCCCCGGGTCGTAATTTGGTTCGATGTCCCTGGCCCGAGTCGATGTCCCACTTCAGGTCAGCACAGAGCAATAGCCGAAGGTGCTGGGCTCCTCTGTTCGGGATGAGGGATCTCCCCGGGTCGTGATTTGGTTCGATGTCTCTGGTTTGAGTCGATGTCCCACTTCAAGTCAGCACAGAGCAGCTTACAAGTGCATACAGGCATACCGTACGGGACTCACGCCCGGGATCAAAACAGTCTTCACTTGTCTTTTGGTGCTACACGACGTGCTAACTTCAGTTATTTTATTAGTGCTATGTTCGAAGCACCGTTAATAGAGCGGATCGAGCTTTCAAGTGTTCACGCCCATCTTTGTGATTGCGAAAGGGAACGACTCTCGTCATCGAATTCATTGCTTCGATTGTACCAGGAGCAAGATACTTTCAGCCAAATCGCGGTAGCCCTGCAGTTTGGCAGCATCCAACTGCACCGTTTAAGCGGGTGTCTTACATTTTATGGGGTTTGGAACTGAAATAGCAATCTTGAAGATCACTCGGTGCAGTTCACAGCCCTGCCCCTCTTGACACCTAAACCCTTCTGGTGTCTCAGCTGCACGCCCGCGAAGATGTGCGGGTCATTTGGGGAGACTATTCCAAGGTAACCCAGGCATCAATGACGTCATTATAATGGCATTAAAATATTATCATTCCACTGACCGTGCGACGATCAAGGTTAAGACAAATCTAATCGCTGGGTGGTTCATATCTGGCGTTCGCAAGCACGATTTCTAGATATGATAATAGTCAATTGGCTCTCAATCAATGTTGTGCAAGATACGATAAGGCAATCGAACACTGACACATTGAGGAGCAGATCTACTAAACAGAAATTATGTTGCGTGTAGCAGCCTTTCCACTTAAAAGCATACCAATAGTTACAAACAAGCTTATTCCATCACATCTGATGCTGGCTTCAATATTTTGAAATCTGAAGCATTCCCTTTATACACATCGGTGTCGAGCTTGTTAAGGTGGACGAAAAGACAAGTGCATAATGGGCGAGTCCATTAGCACAGATGTTACGTGGAAAAACGGAAATTTGGACGCACTCTAGAACAAACAACTTAACCACCGAAGGTGCTGACCAAAGCGCCGCTGAATGATCTATGGCCTTTACAAACGTCGCGTGGCTGCATCTGACTAGATCCGTTACCCGCCTGCACGTGCGGTACGCCTGCACTGGGCATGCCCTGCCATTTCGCGTTCGCAGCTGACTTACTTGCTCTAGAAAGCAACACAAGCAACTGCGATGTGCGATGTATCTCTATTGACACCGTCTGTCTATCTTATCTAGGTCCCTGTTGTTATGTCTGGTATCTATTGTGCTGCTTCTTTGTCCGTCTTCATTGGTAACCCTCTTCAGTTTGGACGTGTGTGGAGCATCCGGCTCTGCCAGTTAGTGTTGCAGGGGCAACGCTGGTTTTTCGTCAGGTACACTTATTTCTGAGTCTTTCTGTCCAGTGTTTGCTGCTTAATACGGCAGGTTTGCCACAGCAGCCTCACCATTTTTCACCCTTGCCTCGGGCATCACGCCCAAGTGTCACGTTGAAGCTTTCCCCCGCTGAAAACGCCCGTGACCGCAGAATACAAAGCACCCCCATGAGGCCGCAAAACACGGCAGGCAGCAACAGCCGAGTCACGTGGCGCTCACAAACGTGACGTTGATACCCTGATAGCCACCGGGAGATAGCTTGGTGCGTTCGGGGGTCAGTCACTCCGGCCGGGCTGGTCCGGACGACACCGGTGCAGGGTCCGGCGGCGCCCCAGGTCAGTCGTGCGGCGGCCACTCTGCCAGCTCCGCCAACATGACGTTGCGCGCCGAGCCGGAGTTCCTCGTCGGGGAGTGCCGTTCGCACGACTGCACGGCGCTGCCCGCCACGGTTAAATCCTACGGCACGGCGAGCGAGGGTGGGCCTCGCCCGCCGCCGCCGGCGGACGCGTGTCCGGAGCCGGTCAAGGCGAGCTACTCGAGCCAGCAACGGCGCCTGCTGGTCGGCATGAGTGTGGTGAGTGTGCTGAACGGCTCCCTCATGGCCGTAATGATCCCCTTCTTCCCGGTGGAAGCAGCCTCGCGCGGCGTCTCACAGACGGTCATCAGCGCCGTGTTCAGCAGCTTCGCATTGACTCAGGTAGTTCTGTACCCGCTGGTGACTCGGGTGGCCCTCCGCGTCGGCGTCACCCGGCTCTACAACATCGGCATCGCCACGGCCGGCCTCTCCACCGTCGCCTTCGGCACGCTCTACTACATCCGCGACGCGGACGCCTTCGTGGTGGCCTGCTTCCTGGTGCGGGCGGTGGAGGCGGCCGGCACGGCGGCCGTGTCCGGCTGCGCCTTCACTATCATCGGCAACCAGTTCGCCGGGCGGGCGAGTACGGTGGTGGCGGTGGTGAGCGCGGCGCAGTCGGCCGGCCTGGCTGTGGCGCCGGCGGTGGGCGGCGGACTGTACGCGGCCGCCGGCTTCGGCGCGCCATTCTACGTGCTCGGCGGCGCCATGATCGTCACGGCGATCGTCAACCAGCGCTTCATGCCGCCGGTAGTGAAGACCGTCGAGCCGGACGTGCGCACGTCACACATGCTGCGCTGCTTCGCCGGCGCGCGCGAGAACTGGCTCTGTCTTCTGATTGTGTTCTTCTACTCGTTCGACTTCCTCACGTTCGAGTCGTGCGTGGCGCCGTACGTGGACCGCGTGTTAGGCATCACGCCGGCCACGCTCGGGCTCTACTTCCTGGCTGCCACCGGCTCGTACGTGCTCACCAGCCCGGTGTGGGCGCGGCTCGCCGACGCCTGCCGCAACCCCTACCCGATGATGGCCGCCTGCATCCTGACGGTGACGGTCGGCACCCTCATCATCCCGCCGTCGCCACTGCTCGGCCTCGCGCCGCGCTGGTGGCTCTTCGGACTGGGCATGACGCTGCAGGAGGCCTTCTTCGGCGGCGCCTACATCCCCTGCTTCCAGCAGATGCTGCAGGCGAGCGTGCGACGCGGCCTGCCCGACGACCTGCACACGCACGCCTTCGTGTCGAGCGTCTACTGGAGCGTCTACTCGCTCGGCACCGTCGTCGGGCCCGTGTCGGGCGGCCTGCTCGTCGACTCGTTCGGGTTCCCAGTCATGATGACGTGCGTGGCGGCGCTGACACTGCTGCTGTTCCTGCTGACGCTGGCGCAGGCGGTGGCCACGAGCTGCCGGGGCGACAGCCGGCCGGCGGACGTCACCGACGAACGGGAGTGCGCGCCGGCGTGACGGTACCAATGATGCGTGACTCGACCTCACTCACCTGCGCACGACTGTCGGACACGTTCTTCGCTGGTGTTAAGAACTATTTGGAGTGCGGGGAGCGACGAAACTGTGACCAATTCATGCTTGTTGCTCGGTGTCGCTACCGCTGTTCTTGAGTCGTCCGCTGCACTGGCCTGTAGGGGAGACAGGCTATGCTGCACCTGCCTGACGGCAAATTTTTCCCGGGGCATGACACATTCTGCAACACTGTGTGGGCAAGGACCTATACGCGAATGGCAAGTTTCTTCACACCAAATAAGCACATGTACCTCAAGGATGCGTTTACGAACCTACCGAAATGTCACACACAGCTGGGCGCATTTCGGGGAATGTAGTTTCACTGCTCCGGTTTTTCAGTTATGCTAGATTTCGGAGAAGCCATCCATCATACGGCAAGCGTGCGTTGCATCAACTAACTACGATTTCTTGCCTTTGGAATGTCCCATAATATTGTCGTTAGGAAGACAGCTATATTTGTGTCAAGGCTTCGTTGGCCGCCCAGCTGCCTTCTTGGGTTATACTAAAATACACAAATACACAAGACGCCCTAAGGAAATGCTGAAATAAGTGTGGATACTTCTCTCCGGGGTGGGGATGTAAAAAAAGATGGACAATGGTTTATTCGCCGGTGATTCGAGTGTGGGACGTCGGGTTCGGTACTTTGTAAGCCAGAGGTAAAGCAAAGCTCGAAACGTGTTCCAACGCCGAATGAAGTATTTTTCCACATATTTCTGGTGTCTGAGCGCGAGAAGGATGGCACACGTTGGGGCGAAATGGTAAATTAATTGGTGCCAAACGATATGGGAGTTCACTGAATGAGTAGACGATGCTATTTTACTTAACATTTTCTTGGAGCAGGACTCCGGGCCCTCGGAGACCGATGGGTCACGGCCTTCTTCATCGCGATCTCCCACACTCGTTTGTCCCGGTAAAAGAACCATTGCCCATTGAATGGCGTCGTCCATTTCCCACTGAGACACGGGGAGGTGGCCCAAACAGTGTGAGCAGACGGCCGTGCGACTGTCCCGCGCCAATCTCCGTCAGCTCAGCTGCAGCAGGCCGTGCGACTGTCCCGCGCCAATCTCCGTCAGCTCAGCTGCAGCAGGCCGCGCTCGAGGCGCGACTCGACACAAAACGCCAGTGGCCGCCTCCCGGTCGGTTAGCGACACACTCGTGAGTCAGCTGCACTTATGCCTCTTATCGAATTGTCGGCGGTTCATTCGTTTACGAAATGCGGTTGGGTTGGCCCTCCGGTTCGGTTGCCAAGATTTGACACTAGTCCTCAAAAAGGCCCCCGAACGAGCCGAGCCGTGGTTTGCGCTCGGGGCCACACACATGGGCCCGCACTGTTGTGAGCAAGATCGTGCGTTCTCTGATAGCTGCCAAATAGCGTTGGTTTCGTGTCGCTGCCACGATAGGTCGACGGTATGTGAGCCCGGTTTCGACTCGAGCGATGCAGCTTCCCGCACTTAGCGAATCGTGTTTCCCTTGCTTATCTAATGGGAGCATCGCTTTCCTTTGCATTGAAACGCTTCAGCGAAATCATGTCTGATCAAATTGTCACCTCTTGTCACCTCACAATGTCACCTCCTATCTTCAATGCTGCGATTCGTGGTTGCAGAGGTGTAAGCTCTCAGGCAGCGTGAAAGCTGGGAGATGTATCTCTATCTACAATTTTGCTCATTGCTGAGGCATGACCAGCATGCCACGTCCGGCCTTTGACGTCGCCCGCGATATATTACGGCTACGGAAGCTGCAGCTTTATCAGTTCAACTTGTAAGGCATAACTTACACATTCAAATGCATGATTCATGCCATCTGTTTCCATCGATGCGTTATTTTTCATGACAAGCGCTGTGGCTACAAATAGCTACCTTTGCTTGTTCAAAAGCCGATCGCAGGAGCGTCCAAGTCCCTGATTGTGCGTTTGAAAGCACCGATTCACGGTCGCGATGCCTGGTTTTGCCTAGATGACGCTAAATGCTGCTGAAGAGGTGGCGCTAGTGTCTGGGCCCATATTTTGGCTCGTCCTTGGTCTCCCGCCGTGTGTTTTGTTGCGTGTAGCTGTACCGGGAGCGACCGCACGGCTTGGACCATGTGCGTAGCAACCGGAAGGAGGGGTCAGGAAGCCAGTGAATTTTTCCAGACAGTTCAGCATTTAAAGTGATGCGCGGAAAGGATCGACCGCAAAAAGGGCCGTACGGGGTTGTATCTCCCACCTGTTGGACGCCCGCCTATCCCGTGGCCTGGGCTTCAGCTTTCGAAGATTCCTATCTTAACAGTTTTCTCACGTAGGATACTGTAAAAGTACTTACCTACGCTATATTACGACTAACAACATTTTCACTGGTGCTCCAGTCGTCGCATTCTGTCTTGTAACTAGAAATCAACGCCTATCGCCTGTTACCGAGACACGGGATCCTTTGTAACCAATCGAGTCGGGTCGGGTCGCCGAGGAAGGGGCGGGACTGGACGGGTCGGGTCGGGTCGGGTACGACCGGGTGTTATATTTCGGTTCTCAACGGATCGCCGGAGCGCCTTTCAGTGAAATCCGATTTGCTTATTTCACGCTCAAAATTTAGATACGGGGATCTCCCACAACCACGCAGTGTTTCTTTTAATTACACGCTTTGAGTTCAGGTAACGGGATGTTCTGTAAATCCACATCCATCGTAGCAAGTGTTCGCCCTTCGACGCAGGCCAGCAATCACAGGTAAAGTGGGGGCCATACATGTCTGCAATTCTGCGCGCCCGGGCAATTCATGACGACTGCGATAAATATTGTATGGCGTGCATGGAGCTCCTGTATCCAGAGCTGATTTATTTTTCAGTCAATGACATATATAAATCGAACGGGAGTTCACCCTTACTGTAAATTCCAGCTTAAAATGAATCGATCTACGCGGTGTGCTATGCAGGATAAACATCGAACCGGATGTCATTTGTGCCTCGCTGCAGTGGGTCCATGAACGATGTCATGACACATGTTGCGCTGTTGCTGGGCTCCTTCAGTCCGGGCTGCACGATAGCGGAGGGTGCAACACAGAACACAACACAACGATTGCCAAGGCCCGAACAAACCTGCACGTTATACCGTCCTCGCGAGCAGGTCCCCCCACACCGCGTCCACATTCACGTCCACCAAGCCAGCACACCTTCCCTGGTCCTCCGCGGCCCCGTGGATGCGTTCGGCAGATGCAGCTGAGCTTTGTTTTATTGTCGCCAGATACCAGCACACACGGGCAGGCGTCCGGTTAGCGCCGGCACCGGCCGGATCGGGCCCGGCGCCGCCGCCGCCCGGCCCCGGCCCTGCCGCGCCGGCGCCGTCCCGTTCCTTGCGCGTGAAAATGGCGAGCGTTACGAGGGAGCAACTCCGGGCTGAAATCGCCGGTAAGTTGGTCATCTCTGACAGTGACCATTTCTGGATTCGTGGAGATGTAGCTCGATGTGTCTGAAAGTGTTTTTTAGCCTTACTTTCGTCGTCCGTTGTGATTTTGTGGGTGAATTTTGTTCTTAAAGGTGTGGACCTGGGTACAGTCTCTGACATATGCGTCCACCATGTTGGGCCGGCCGGCGTCCGCGTTGAAATTTCGTCTGAGTTTGCATTCAAAATTTACTTCCGTCTGTGCCTAGCTATGAGGTTTTGAATGCATCATATATCATACCAATCGTTATGGTAGGCTGCTGAAATGCGCAGTAGTTTCGTTGTTTTCCCGGTATTGGTCCCTGTCTGGAACGTGGCCGGTACGGTCCTCAACATAGCGGCTGGGACACGTCGGCGAGAGGTTGGCGGAGCTGACGGCGCGGTGCCGGTGGCGGCCGCCGGCGGTAATCCTCAGCACTAGCGACGCTCAATCCGTGCTCCCGCCGCGTCGCCCGTCGTTCAGCGTCGGGTGGCCGCAGGCGCCGGCGCCGGCCTCTCGAACGGAGACGTGACGCTCCGTGAGGGGCCGAGGCTATTTCTGTCCGTATCGTGCATGGTTGCGGGATGCGGAGCACGATGCCTCCGACGACGCATTGACAGTCCGGGCGGCTGAGGCGTAGTCGTCGGACATGGGGGACTGACGCCTGAGCCTCTCTGTCCAAGCATCTGGCCAATATTGCATTGATGAACGTCTCTCGGTTAGGAACATACTATTCACACATTATATATATATATATGCATACATATATATGTAGGAATATATATATATATATATATATATATATATATATATATATATATATATATATATATATATATATATGTTCCTACATATATATGTATGCATGCATATATTCAGACTACTGATATGCACACATTTCTATATTATGTGTGATGTCATATGTATTTTGTGTTGCATTCGACCTTTATGTATTTACGCACATGCACCATATATATATATATATATATCATGAGTGTGGACATGTGTGTACATGTGTATTCAAAACCGAAACAAACCTTGCACCTTGGAAACCTTGCACATGACCAGACTTGCGTCCGCCTGAATTCTTACAGTGGACCAGACTTGCGTCCGCCTGAATTCTCAATTCTTACCACTGAATTCCATCAGCCATTCGTCATTTGCGGCCGGGAGGACCCCATCAAAATCCCATCAAAATCGCGGCCGTCACACTGAGACCGATGCAGGGCTAGGGGATGCGCCCTTTGCTGGCACTGTAGCTCTGCGTGGACTTCGGTCCCAAGGTCTAGTTTCACCGTCACCGCCGTGGCGTGGGTGACGTCACTGGACCCTCGTCAGCCGTGCCATTTTCCGGATCAAGGTTATTCTGCGGCTACCATCCGCACAAACGTCGCCATATCAGGGAAGCTTGATTAGCCGGCTCGTGTACGGCGGCACGCTGAACAAGTAACCCGAGCGGCCGCACGGCGAGGCCGTTGCCAGTATTGGATGGGACGGCAACGGCAGCGTGCTCCGGGTGGCGCAGGCGCGGCGTGGGACGGAAGGTGTCACGACCCCACCCCAGCGCACTGTTGCCCTTATCAAAATGCCGCGCTCGTCCCCAGCGAGGGTGGGGCTTCGCGCGGTCCGCCGTTGGACGTTCGCTGTTTGAACAGGCCGATCGGAACTGACGCGGCCACGAGTGTGACCTCACGGCAGCTCCGTCCTTCGGCCGAGGGATGGGGGAGCGGGGCGGGGACTGCCGTTACTCTCGATCTCTGTGCGACAAACGTTAGCTCGGTCTGAGTTGTGCGAAGAATGCATGTTACGTTGTGAGCCGTTTTTTGAGCAGAGGACCGGCGTATGTCAGGGTGGTGTAAGAAGATTTGGTTTTGTTGTGACGAGTGTTGCCGTGTTTCCGCGCCAGTTCCGTGCATGCCACACGACTGGAGGATTGAAGCGCACGTCACACCAGGATGTGAAGCGAAGCTGACGAGATAACCAACCGCAAAACTTCAAATCGGATTTCACGTTTTGGCAGGCATTAAAACATATTTCTAAGTTACGAACTCGTCTCCCTGCCAGATCCCGGCGTTATAACCAACGCATAAAACCTCGCGGGTTACGCATTCTTGCATCGCGGGTGTACCGCAAATTCGAGCGAAGGCGCTCGCGCGATCAGCTTCCCAGCACCGCCGCGGCGATAGCCGGTACTCTGGAGCGTCTGGCAGGCCGCCGGCGGCTCCCGCCGTGTCCGGGTAGCCGCTGCAGCCACGTGTGACAGACCTGTCATGGGCGGCGCCGCCCCGCGGCCGTACGGCGGGGGTGCGCCGCTCACGCTGACAGCGCGTGGCGGGTGGGCGCGGCAGTCGGCCACCCCGCCGCGCACGGCGTCGCCGGCCGGCTCGACCTTGACCTTGCTGGTGCGGCCGCCGGCCCGGCGGACGGCACATTCCGTCACCGTCGCTGCACAGCTCCTCTCTCTCCGGGCAGCGGGTGCTCCGGTAGAGGGCCGCCAGACGCCCGGCCGCCAGCCGGGCCCAGTTCAATGACGCGACCTTGGCAGGGGGTGTCGGCGGTTCAAGACAGCAAGCGCAGGTGGTGATTGCTTTGTCGTACACGTGGAGGGGGCACTCTCACCGCCGATTTAGCGGGTCAGGTACATGGCATTACCGGGCATAAGCTGGCGTCTTAAGTTCATTGCTCGGCGTAGAACCAGACTACCCAGAAAAGGTCGCGTTTTTGTGGTTATGAGATGTTCTTGGGTGACTTTTGGGTGATTGGATACAAGATTGTGTGGACTGAGACGTACTAGGTGGGGGGGGGGGGGGGGGGCGGGGTATGCGTGCTTTCGCTGCTTTGGTTTGGCGCCCCTTCCCTTGATTGAAGTGGCTGAAACAAAAGAATAAAAGGATAGGGGCAAAATATGGCTCCTCCAAGGGTGCCATGCAAAGGATCACTCTTGGAGTCGAATTCCCATGAAGTCAACTCCCCCAACGTGGTGATACTCTTCAATTATAACCTCTAGTTAAATGTTTAAAAATGATTCGTACATGCTTAAGGATTTTCTAGGGAATCTAGTGATATTGTGGGCCAAGTTTTAGAAGACACTGGCGGAATTTTACGGGAAGGTCCTGGCCACCGCTAGTCGGGACCCTCCATAAGCATACGGTCGCTCGGTCTCCAGAACGATGCTTTATCATTGTATATTTATGGTACGTTGGGCTCCAATAACCTCAGATTTAACATTAGGACGAAGGTGATGAGTGTAAAGAATTGTCCCAAAACGACCAAATCTACTGGTGGAGGCCGTGCCCTCCAGTTCGTCGTTGGTGTGTCGTCCCTGCCCTGGGGTGCAAGAACACGAGACCCTTGAACGGGCGGCTGCGAGTGCTGACCTGCCGCGCCCTTTGTCCGCAGCCCAGCTGGAGGATGCCGACCTAAACTCGGTGTCTGCCAAGAAGGTGCGCCAGGCGCTGGAGAAGAAGCTGGACGAGGACCTGACCAGCCGCAAGAAGGAGATCGACGAGCTTATCGATGAGGTGCTGAACGAGAAGGATAAGGCCAGCGGCGCCGAGGACGACGATGACGACGAGGACGCTGAGGAGGAAGAGGAGGAGAAGAAGCCAGCTCCCAAGAAGAGGAAGGCGGCGCCCAAGAAGGACGCCAGTGATAGCGATGAGGCTAGTGACGATGACGACGAAGAGGAGTATGCGCCCAAGAAGAAGCGCGGTGCCCCTAAGAAGCGCACCAAGAAGTCGGACAGCGAGGAGGACGACTGGAAGGCTTCCAAGAAGCCGGCGGTGAGTCATCCGCGGGTGGTCATGTGTCTTCAGTCCACAGATTGTCTTCAGCAGACATCGGTAATGTTTGGCGATGTGGGATGGAAAGCGAGTGCGCTCAGCTTGTGTTTAGATATATGTGTATACATAGACCGTGCTCCCTAAGTATTGGGCGCCGGAGGTTGGTTCACAGTACCAGTACTTTTTTGGCTGCCCCAAAACACGCTTGTGATGGAGTTGGACAAGCAGAAGGCCATTATGATCCTTGATAAATGAGCGGCACCGTGTAGCTTATGGCAATGCCAACCATCGGCATTATCAGTTGTAATCATTGACAGAAGGATGATGTGTGTTGCGATCTTCGAGACGTTATCCATCGAATTCCCAACTTCTGCAGGCAAAGAAGGGAGGCGGAGCCAAGAAGGCCGGGACCGGGTACACAAAGCAGTGCAAGCTGTCTCCGGCGCTGTCCAAACTGATGGGCGAAGAGCGTATGGCGCGCCACGAAGTCATCAAGAAGATGTGGTCCATCATCAAGGAAAACAACATGTATGACCCGAAGAACAAGCAGTACGCTATATGTGATGACGCCATGTTCTCCGTGATTGGTAAGTGGCCCCTAACATGGCAGGGTTGGTGAGAGCGAGTGGGACGGACTCGGAAGCTCAAAGGTCGGGTCATGAAATGCATGATGGGGCTCCTGCAATGCCTCATGCAAATGCTGCTTGTGTGTATGTGTGTGTGTGTGTGTGTGTGTGTGTGTGTGTGTGTGTGTGTGTGTGTGTGTGTGTGTGTGTGTGTGTGTGTGTGTGTGTGTGTGTGTGTGTGTGTGTGTGTGTGTGTGTGTGTGTGTGTGTGTGTGTGTGTGTGTGTGTGTGTGTGTGTGTGTGCGTGCGTGCGTGCGTGCGTGCGTGCGTGCGTGCGTGCGTGCGTGCGTGCGTGTGTGTGTGCAAACCTCAAAATGCAAATGCAAGCTTGTGTTTGCGGAATAATGCCGCATCAGGCAATGATTTGTCTCCCTAAATTTCTGCGCACGGCGGTCCTGTTGGGGCGTCTTGTGAGGTATTCCTCAAGTGGTGATGTAATATGTTGGACGTGGCTGGTATTTGTGCAGCGGACTGACAACTGAGTGTTGAAGCTTGTACTACCGCAGGTACGAGGGCTCCCCGACCCTCACCCGCTTGTGCGGCGGCATTGCCCCGGGCTCAATGTAAGCGTCACCTCCCTCCGCAGGCGTCAAGCGTTTCCGTACCTTCGGCATGATGAAGTACCTGAAGGACCACTTCACCAACGAGTAGGCGCTGCCGCTCGGTCCCATCCGTCATCCCGCCTGTCGGGCGTCTCTTCACGTCACCAGATAGGTTAGAGTGTCATCTGGATATGTTGTCTCCACGTCTGTCGCTCGGTCGAGCGCGCGCGCAGCGGCTCCCCGCCGGGGCTGCGCAGACGGGCAGCGGAGCCACGGCTCCCCACCGGAGCCGCGGCTCCGGAGCAACGCAGACGGGCAGCGACAGTCGTGCCGGGTTTGAGAAAAGCAGTCTTCATCTGCAATATGGTTTCCGATTTCTTCGTTGCCGTCTCCTGGTGCGTGTTGGCCCGGGGCAGCTGGTGGGCCGTTCGGACGTTTCTGTTCACTGTCCAGTGTCCTGGAAAGCCCGATAGCAGGGTAGGCGTGGTGAGGGGTGCTCGCGCCGGACAGAGCGGTGCACCGGCTGTGTTCGCTGGCCGTGACAAAAAATACGCGTTTTGATTCGTAACTAGTTTTATTTACTCGTGCTTTCTGAGCTTACGCGGCATTTCTGATAGTTGTGCGGTTTTGTTTGCAACGTGCGTTGTCTGTGAACGTCTAATTGAATGTCGTCTCTTTCTACAATACATGAGCTGGTGGACTACATGTCATGTTTTTTTTCTCAAACTGTTGACTGATGACCCAAAAGTGGAACGAATCGTTGCGCTCGGCGTTGAACCAGGAGGAGGGGGATTTCGCAAGATAAAGTCGGGGGCTGGCCAGTGAAAAAGGGCAATACGACCCACAACATACCCAAAATGCAGGTTATTCCTCGCATACATTTTTTCCTTTCATTCGCTTTCCCCTTGCATTCGCGCGGACCTGGAGGCAGCCCCAGACCCCCCACCCCCTCCACTGGAGAGAGGAAATTACACCCCCAGGCTGCAGACAACGCGCCGACTGGTTCCCAGAAGTACATCCCTGGGGTGACCGTTGCGCATTAGCTGGGTTCTGGGGAAGCTCTCTACAAAACGATCGCTGATCGCTAATCAGGCATCCTTTTTGGACTGACATCTGCGGGACTCAGAGAGGAAAGCCGCCTTCTGTGGACGTTAGTCCGACTGGGATGGCAACTTTTGTTCGTTTGTTTGCGTGCAACTAAACTCTTGTCATATTATCGGGAACAGGGCTACGCGTCAGGTTCAGGGGATGGCAGGGTGTTCGGAGGGAGCAGATGCCCCCATGTTTACATGAAAATTAAGACCCCGCGTGGTCGCAAAAAACGACGCAAAGACTAGCTGCCCCCATCTACAATCAGGTTTCGCCGCCGCTGTTCTGCACAAGCTTTTTAGCTAGCTGTTGACCCGTTCAATGGCAGCATGCATTTGATGCAACTGCTGTGCAACTCCCGGATGCAACTGCTACCCTGCACTGGTAATGATGGCAGTGTTTTAGGCCATAAGGTTACAGTACACTTTGTCAAACGCCGTACAAAACTAGCAATGTTCGTGTAGTCATGCATTCGCCGCGGTTGAATATCAGCTTTTTATAAACAGATCTGCATTTAAGCTAACTTCTAGGGAACCAAAGTTGGGATTGTTTATTCGAAGGCGCAACAAAACGTATTAAACACCTGACAATTTTGTAGCAGTGATTTCGAACGGCATGTCAGCTGTTGCGTCAGCTACAATATACATAAATGGCGCGGCCCTTACGTTTTCCAGCGCATGATGAGTACTGATGTGCGGAAGTGGTGTATCGCGTGCCGCCCTGACAGCGACATGGCCGAGTCAGATCCGGCTGGCTCTAGCTAGGGTGAAGTATTTCCGTCGCTGTCCGGTGATCGAGTCGGATTGGTGCCAGCAAGCACTGGTGGGTGCAATTCGTGTGTAATGGTATTTATGTAATGGTAATTATTGGACTTGCAAGGTTAGATGGGGCGTAATACCTGTCGAAGGTGATTTAGTCAGAAAAGGTTAGGGATGGGAAACCGCTAAGAAGTGCATGGGCAAGTGAAGTGCATGGCCAGACTCAAATAATGGATTTGGGATATATCAATCCACGCTTTCAGCGTTTTGGTTAGGATAGCTGATCTTAGCTGATAGCTGATAGTTGAGGTTAACTTGATTACATAAGTTTGATTACCAGTTTTTTTAGCATGCCGGTTTTATAAGACATTCAAACACACATCTCAAGTTTTAAGCTGTTTGAAAACTGTTAGTGGAAGGGAAGATTTTTAAAATTGGAGTTACAACACGTAAAAGTGAATGAAGCAACTTATTATTTGCTTTGGGGAGAGATGATTTATGTTAAGATTTTTATGGCTTATTTTTCAAGATTTTCTCTGCAGGCATAAGGATGTCACTCAAGTATCCCTTTGGCTACTGCACTGTGTAAGGCCTTTGGAAAGGTACTGGTATATGGGATGCTGTCTTTGGTCTTGAAATAATAGTATACATGTAACTTATTGGATGGAATTTTCAAGATGGGAATAAATGTTGTATGCCACAGGTCACACTCAGAAGAAAGACATTCTTACCATATTCTAGCTATGAACAATCAGCTGATCACAGAAGTGGCAATCGGGCTAGCCACCTGTGCCAGGTTGGTTAGCCACTGACAAGGAAGCCAGGTAGCTGTAACTGTCCTTGCATTACCTACCTCGTGCATCTTGTTACTTCATATTCTAACTTCATGACTGGGAGTAAGCTTGCTTAAGAACACAAGTATCATGCAATTTGTAGGTCACCATTAGAGTGTAATTTGGCTATCTAGCTATCGCTGGTTGATGGTTACCATTAAACAATATTTCAATAATGGACTAGAACCACAATAGACCTGGCCTTGAATTCTCAAATGCTATTTTGTGTTATATGGTTTAGCCTTATCAATTCTTAACAGACCAGTTTGCATAATTAATCTGACTAAAGAGTAGTCTTCAGATTATGTCAAAATGATCTGGTATATGCTTGTAGATGTAGTCTTGGTCATTTCTAGGTTGTGTTTGTTCATTGTTATGCCCATTCATTGTTATGCCCATAGAGCTATGCAAAGAGTGGGACACAGTGAACAAGCCATGAGAGGCTAGTATGCAGAAGCATATTTTATGGTAACTTTGTTTTTATCCAAAGCACTCTTGCCAAAGACAGTGCAGAGGTGGCAGCAGTTAAGTTGTTTACACTTTGCATGCATTGTAAAGGTGATATTTAGAATCAGAGTGTCCCCTTAGTCTTTGTTCCAGGAATGATAACTAAAACAAGTCTTGTGTGAGCCCAATGTCTGGAATAAGGCTCATTTGAGCATGTTGTTTGGCCATTTCTGGATTTAAATCACTCCTGTGCCAGAAATAAAAGCCTTTGTAGTAATAACAGTCAACAATTAAGCCACTGATTACATGTAAACATGCCATAATGCAGTGAAATATCTGTCACTGTTATGGTGTTCAATTCCTATGGCATTATATGGACAGGCTGGTAACCAAAGGTCTGTTTTGGTGAATTACAGGGGATACTCAGGTAGCACATACAGTGTGAAATTTATGGCAAGGTGAAAAAGCAGCAGGTAATAACAGGCCTTACAGTTCTAAGAAAACTCATGGTCACTGCATCAGGCAAATGTCAGTTATAAAGTTTGTAACATTCAAAACTTGTTCATCTGTTCATCTGCCATTTGGATGTGTTTCACTGGTGTGGGAGTATAAGTAATGTTTCTTGTTCTTTTTTGTGTCATTGCATTAACCTCCAGTTTTGTTCAATTGATGTCATATTTTTCATGCCTGGTATTGCTTTGATTATATCAGTTGATGGCTTGAAGCAGTCAGACCTTTGTTACTGAGCAGGGTAAACACACTGAACAATATGTCCTGGAATTTCCTGAGAACTGTTGTAATTGGTCATTGCACAAATGAAACAACAGCATAAGTGTCAGCAGGTTCAAGTCAGGCTTTTTAAAAAAGGCATCCACCATACCATACCTAATGTATATCACAAGAAAGTAAGTTGCACTCTTTGTAACATCTGTGGGCATTGCTCAATTTTCCCAACACCTTGCTTCTCACGTTTTATTGTTTCTGGCGCCTCTTGTCAGCTGTTGATGACGTGCGGTGACAGTAGGTAATGTATTTGCTGTAATTAATGAGCGACATTCACTTGCTGTTAACTTTCAGCAAAGCAACTTGTTTGGTGTGGGATGGGTGGGACGACAAGGGGGAGACGACGTGAATTACGTAGCGCCAGTTTGGCCATCTCCCTCGCTCCCTGGTTACTGCTGGGTAGCAAACCCTTCGACCCTCCCACTGCATCCGACCCTCTTATCCTGTCTCTTACTTTATCCTGAATCCTCGCGACGCCCCGCTTGTCCGGTGCAGGCGGCATGCGCCAGCCACGAGTTGGCCGAGAGGCTCCGTGGTGGGGACCCTGACCGGGCGCCCGGTGTACAACCCGCAGAGGGGGGCAGGCTAAGGCCGGGCGGTTGCCCCCCCCCCCCCCCCCAGACGCTTATAGTCGTGCCCCACCGTCATCCATTTTCCTTCGTGTTATATCCCTAAAATGGTCATTATTGGTCGAAAGGGCTCTAATCCAAATAACGAAATAATCAAACCCTCCCCCTGGTGACACTGCTAATCGTAAGTTCCCAAAAAGTGACTTCCCGAGTTAGAGGCGCGGAACAAGGAGGCACGGGCGTGTTGCTCGTCATGAAAGGAAGCCAAGCGTATCCGGCTTTAAGGTTTTAAAACCTTTTTGTTACAGAAGACGTCAGCTTGATGCGCCACCACACCTAAGGGTAACGTTACGCCGTCCAAACCCCCCTTTCCCCTGATACGCTTCGGTCATACGACATCAACCCCTCCCGCTCTTATGGTCAGCATGATCCGCAACCACACCTAAGGGTAACGTTACGCCGTCCAAACCCCCCTTTCCCCTGATACGCTTCGGTCATACGACATCAACCCCTCCCGCTCTTATGGTCAGCATGATCCGCAACCACACCTAAGGGTAACGTTACGCCGTCCAAGCCCCCCTTTCCCCTGATACGCTTCGGTCATACGACATCAACCCCTCCCGCTCCTATGGTCAGCATGATTCGCAACCACACCTAAGGGCAACGTTACGCCATCCAAACCTCCCTATCCCCTGCTAGGCTTCAGTCATACGTCATCAACCCCTCCCGCTCCTTGCGTAGCATAATGTACGGACGACCTTCTGCAGATGTGAGAGTTTTCGGGTGTCACCTAGACGACGCCAAAGAGTAAGCCATTTTGTGGACCCAAACACCAACGGTGCCCGGTATCATTGATTTTGCCAGGGATTTTATTAATGCATATGAAGTTCTTCCTTCTGTGAGGATGTCACAGACGGGTGTCCATTCAGGTATTTAGGTAATTCGCGCGCTAATGCAAAAATAGCTCCGCTTGCGAAATGGATAGTCAGAAATCTGGCCGGGCTGGGAACTTGAGTCAGCGACATGAATGAATTGATAATGAGTTACAGTCTTGGCAATCGTAACCAAAGCATTGAAAAATATGTGTCATGCATCAGGCATCATGCATGCATGCATGCAAATATGCATCACTCATCATCATGCATTACCCCAACGCTGTTGAGTTTACACGTTTACATGTGTTACCCTCACGTCCGTCAATAATGTGGGCCATGTATATATATATATATATATATATATATATATATATATATATATATATATATATATATATATACATGGCCACTATATATATATATATATATATATATATATATATATATATGTATTAATATGTATTACATATACATACATTTTGAATTAATTGGTCACAAAAAACCGCACCAAACACCTGTGTGCATTTCAGGGTTATATTTGTGTTTTGGCGTTTTTGTGCTGTATTCGATGTCGTTTGGAAAGGGTGAAGTTGCCCATTTGCTGGCCCATGAAGTAGCACTCACTTGATCCGCGGCCTCGCTCAAAAGAAACTGCTTGAACGCATCCTGCCGTATGTGTGTATACCAGTAGCATTCATCCACGTCGATTTAGAAGTTAACTAATCGATGGCTGTCCCAGCGATGTGACACGCTCACCCCAGGTCATCCCAGGTCAACACGGCACGCCCCAGGCCGCCATGCTTCGGATACGAGTGCGGTCGGAGGGTGGCCGGCGCTACCCGTCGGTCGCGCTGGCGTGCGACGAGGGCGCGACGCGGGTCGACCCAGCCGGTGCGGACGCCTCGACGGTCGACCGGCTCCGCGCGGCGGCGCGGTACCGGACCAGCGGGCTGCTGGCTGGGCTGGCGGTGCGGGAGCTGCGCTGCTGCGCCGGCTGCCGGCGCGCCGTCTGGCGGCACCACGGCGGCGCGCGCCTGCTGCTGGTGCTGGTCGAGCCAGGACCGGCGCCGCTGGACGCGCGCTGGGGACGGCTGCTGATGCATTTGCTCTGGAAGCGGCGAGAGCTCGACTATATGATGTCCTGGCTTTCGACACTGGGTGGCGCGTTCTCGGCGCTCGGCGACTACTACGCCGACTGCGTGAGTGGTGGCCCGGAAACGGAGGAGGAGGGTGGGGCGACGGGACGTGGGCGGGACCCGTGTGGGGCGACGGAACGCAGGTGGGACCCGTGTGGGGCGACGGGACGCGCGTGGGACCTGTGTGGGGCGATGGGATGCGGTCGGGACCTGTGTGGGACGACGGGGACCTGGCGACGAGCTGTGCTCCTTGTTGGTGTCCTCTTCTAATTCAGCTTCCATCCTCTGCAGCTGTTCTTGGGTCATGGTGACGCATCGGAAGTAGTTTCCCCGCAAACTGAGTAGTTTCCCCGCAAAATGCCTGTGATATAGTGATGTAGATTCGGTCGGAGCATGAGCCAAGCTCAGAGGCTTACCAAATCAAGCCATTCCTAATTATCTCAGGCGCGCCGCGGCCGCAGCGCTCTGTCTGCGTTTGTACAGATATGCCTGTTGAATCTCCGTCTCCTCTGCCCGTGGAATCTCCGCCTACTCTGTCCGCTGATTCGCCTCCTCTGCCCGCTGGTCGGCCTCTTCTGCCCGCTAGCCGGCCTCCTCTGCCCGCTGATCCGCTTCCCCTGCCCGCTGATCCGCCTCCTCTGTCTACTGATCCGCCTCCTCCGCCCGCCGACCCGCCTTCTCTGCCTGCTGATCGGTGTCTCCTGCCCGCTGATCCGCCTCTTCTGCCCGCTGATCGGCCTCCTCTGCCCGCTGATCGGCCTCCACTGCCCGCTGGTCGGCCTCTTCTGCCCGCTGGTCGGCCTTCACTGCCCGCTGGTCGGCCTCCTCTACCCGCTGATTCGCCTGCTCTGCCCGCTGACCCGCCTCCTCTGCCCGCTGATGGGCCGCCATCTGACGCCCGTCGCCGCGCCGCCAGGCGGTGATCGCCGGCAGGATCTCGGTGAAGCAGCTGGAGCTGGCGCTACGGCTCGGTGACCCGCTGACCGCGGCGCGGTGCAAGCTCTACGCCGCCATCAGTCTGCTGCAGCGCGGCAGCTTCGAGACGGCTGCGGCGCTAGTGCGCCAGCAATACCGGCTGCGCGAGGCGCGCCGCGACCGCCGCCTGCGCAACATGTGCCGCGGCATCTGGGCGAAGCTACAGTACGAGCGCTGCCGCCGCGCCGCCGAACACGGCTAGCGTCCGGCCGTCGGCGGGGAGCGGCGGTCGGGCTGCCACCCCACGGCTCGCGGTCATGGGGCGATGGGGACGAGATTAGCTGGATCTCGGGACGCGGGCCTCGCCGAGAGCCCATTCATGATCTCTCAGTATCGGGCGGGCCTGTGGTTGAAGGGTGTCGAGGCTGGGGAACCCTCGACGTGCGTGTCGAGACAGGACGACCCCCTGCTGAGGCCACTGCACATTGGCGGCCAATCGATTCGTTCGGCAGAAACGAAAGACGCTTGTGCGCTTCTAGCCATCGGGGTCTGACGATTTGCGTCTCTGCCTGAAATTCACGATATCTGAAAGTCAGGTGTAACCCGGCTGCATGGTCACCAAACAGCAACAGGCACTCTCCGTTTTGCATGCTTTAATTGGAACTCATAGACGACACCAAACCCCTTGGATCAGGTTAATCTAAGCTTACTCATGATGAAAGGATATTTTAGAAATGACGGGTGTTTCTGTGTCTGTTACAACACTGTTGTCCTCTGGTCGAACCAACCAGCGTGCAGGGGTCTTTGCGGTTGCAGCTATGCAACTGAGTCCCGTTGCTGTTTGAATGTTTGTGTCCAGACTGCGGAGACGCCAACTGCTTCTGCGGCCCGCCGAGCCCACGCCCACCGAGCCCACGCTCCAACGAGCCCACGTGCATCTAACTGCCGCTGAAACTGTCGCCGGCTGGTTTCAGAGGTGTTGGCCGTTGTCGTAGTAATACTCAGAGAACACCCAACGTAGCTTTGCCAGCGATGTCCGCGTCTCGTGGTGCCTTGGATTGGCTCCAGGTTTCCAGATGCGTTGCGACTATGATTTGTGGCGTTGCCAATCTCTGAGCAGTGTCTGCCCCGTCACCGCTGGCCGTCCGCCCCGTTCCCCCCCCCCCCCCCGTCCTTTAACTACCAGGTGTTGTTCTCATGGGCATGGCCTTCCCTTTGATAAACGCTGTTGCCACGCAAGCCGGTGGCCCGGTATCCTGCCGAGGTGAAGGAATGGCTACCTCAGCACGTCCGCGAACGGGACCGGACCTTTCACTGCGGTGTGGTGAGATGTGAATTCTCGTCTGTGATATGTTGAAAGCTGGCAGATGCCAGTGACAATACAGGTTTATTACTGAAAACGTGGTTGGGTGTTTTGTGATGTGTTTGGGATCTGCAACTTACATACGCTGACACCAGTAACGGTCGACACAGACGACTCGTCAGGCAGTGTTGTTACACGTGCTTTAAAGGGAGTGTTTCACGCTTGTAGGGGGTTTTGAGATTACATATCCATCTTGAAGATCACTCAGTGCAGTTGACAGTCCTGCCATTCTTACTACCCAAGCCTCTTTAGTTCTGAGCTAGACGTCCTCGAAGATATGCGGACTTTATCGTGCAGGCTTTTTCAATGTCACCCAGGCATCGATGACGCCATAATGACATCGCTTAAATCCTGTCATTCCACACGCATTAATTGTGGAGTGGTTCGTATTTGGGGCGCGCCATGTACATTACATGCATCGCGTGGCGCCCCCAGGGGGCAGCACCAATCACGCCCGCTACAGCAGAAATGTCAGCGCGGCAGGCAGCCCGCCCCACACGTCGCGACCGCCATCTTTGCGATTGGCGTGGTCACCATGACATCACCGCGACCGTGGCGGGTGTCTCATGCGTGAACGGGCGTTAGTGTATCGTTACCCAAATATGTCCACTGTGGGGCAATGCTTCAAAACCACCCTTACTGATGGCGAGAGCCGAAAATGTTTCCTCACGCTGAAGTTCTCTGGTCCAGTGTGGCCCAGACGCAAGTATAATCCAGTTGTCTGGCTCAGACATGGCTTAGGATCTGTTGGCGCCACCTCGCATTTTATATCTGGCAGACTTATGATGACGTTGCGATAATTATGTAAAAACCTCGAGTTCAGGTCAGTCGAGACAATCGAGTCCGCAAAAAAGGCGTTTGGCAGCCGTCGGCCGCTGGTACCGGGCGGGCGCAGGTGGCTGCCCCACCCAGCCGTTCCCAGCGCGTTCTCATCTGCCGTCGCTGGCTGTTTGTTTAGTCAGGCAGCGCTGATTCGACGTCGTTTTTTACCCACATGTAAACGTGATGCTCATGCTCACCAAGTATGGGTTCGCTTGGAAGAACGACAAGCCCGAAAGGTGTGTTCGCGGATCTGTCGTTTCTTCGCATTCAAACTTCCATCAGGTCACAATGTCATGACTATCTTTCAAAATTACAATACCTCGTGGCTCTGATTAGCACGCGCTCGGGTGCGGGAGCCAATGTGACCCTTCAAAGGTTTTTACAACATAATTTTCGGAAGGTGGGGCGTGGCCGGGCCACATTTGATCAACTGTTGGCAATGGGATAGCGGATCTTGTGGTCGAAACAATTATTTGTACCTTGCGAGGCCACTGAACTGTGGCAAGTCGAAGTCAGACCGTGGCTGTCAGTTGCAATTTCTATGAATCTTTCAATCCAAAGTGACAGCGGAGGGCTAAACGAAGCCATGCATCGCTAAGATAGTTTCTCGGAAGTAAGACAATAAAATTAAGCATTACAACAAATTCCATCGACCTAAGGGCAGGCGTGAAGATCAGACCGAGGCCAAAATCGGCATGTTTTTTTTTACTGTAGAGCGTGGTTAAGGGGATAGTTCTTGATGCTCTATTCCAATTTTTTGATAACGTGGACCACAACGGGCATCTTCCATGTGCTTCTCAAATATTAGAGTAGGTCATTGTCCCTAAACGAACCGAACTAATCCCTACTTTCTAGGAGCGTAATGCGTAGCGTGACCTTTAACGCTTACTAAACAAACAAAAAAACGATCAGTCTAGAAGGTTTTCGTTCACCATGACCTTCGAAAGGCCGCACAAGGTCACTGACCAAAAATGAGCTCCAAATGACACCATTCTTGAGTTTGATATTGTTTGACATTCTTTGAAACGAAGGTCATGACCCAGTCATTCTTTGCCCATGACCAGACCTTAAATTTGGCGGAAGTGAGTTAACATACAGACCAGCCTGCCCTATGAATTTGGTGTCTCTAGCTTCCTTGATGTCTTTTTGATCACTGGATTCGGGGAACAAATTGATCTTCTCCAAAGGAGGGGCATTCAACCGGCCATTCGTGCACGTGTCAAGTCTAGTCCCCATTATGGCATCATGCGCGCCACATCAAAAGTAACCACCCACCAGGCAGCCGCACTCGTACGCCACGTCCACAGCCTCACACCAGCGGAGAGCTGTTGATAAATGTATTCACAATATCTCCGCGCGAACTTCACAACAAAACATGGCTAGCAAAGTTGTCTCCGGAGCGGCGCATGCGTGGATCGGTCGGTGCTGCGGCGGGGAGCGCGCGCCCGCGCCAGCTGGCTGACAGCGCGCCGCCGGAGCCCGCGGTCGGACCCGAACTGCGCTCGTCGCGCGCTGGGGGGCGGGGGGGGGGGGGCGCTCACGGCGCCGGCAGCGCGGGCCGCTCACGGCGGCGCGGCGGCCGAGTGGCGGAGGTAGCTGGTGTTCGGAAGGCGGGCCGGACCTTCTCGTGTGTACTTTGAACTGGCGCAGCGAACGAAAGGCTTGTACTCGGCGCGCGACGGGGCGCCGGAGGGCAAGGTCGGGCGCGCATCTCGGCCGAAGCGCGGGGCGCTGCACGTGCGGGCCGAGTCTGCTGTCAGTAGTCGAGAACGTAGCTGCAGGTACGCAGACAACTGTCTGCGGGTCTGGTTGGCTTGTACATTGGAGAAGACACGTCGGTGTGTCACAATGTGTGGCGAGATTTCGCGACATGGATCGCCAGCGCACGCAAATGACATCACAAGGGTAGGCTGAGCCTGCCAGTGGGTATTGCAGACAAGACAAACTGTTCAAAGCTGGATGCACTTTTCGGCAAAGTGTGTTGGCTTCTCGGTTAATACGCCTATAACAACACCACAAACTACCAATTATAAATCCATGCAGTACATCGTGCTCACAGGCGACCACGTCGGAGGAAATCTCCTCGGGCCACCGTGAGAACCACTGCTCCCCCTACGTACCGGGGCATGCCGTATCATAAAACACGTACACGAGTGGCGCTGTGTTCTCGCGCGCCGCACACCGATAGTGGTAGCGCACTGTTCTGCCGGACCATCGCCGAAGGCGACGGCCGGCGCCCCAGTACGACGGGTCGCCGCCGGGCCGGGCGGCCCTATGCGCGCGCCAGCGCACCGAGCGGATCCCAGGCCGGCAGCACGGTCGGCTCCTGCTCGAACACGGCCATCACCTCCTCAGGCACGTACTTCTTGTCTACCACCACCTGTTGGCAGCACGCCGAAGCTGAGGTGTGGCATTTCGCCGCTCGAAAGCGGTACAGGGCACTATACGCCTTGAAGCATTCCAGCATTGTGAAATGCAGCCTCTGGCCAAGCGGGCCCAGCTCTATTTAGGCACAACAGTCCTGGGTCCTGGCCATCGGTCCAGGTGGTTAGTTGACCGACCGAATACAGACCCAAGCAAAACGTTGTTTCCTCACACATTTTGTCGTTACACAGAATTTGGCCCGCCCACAGCTCTAGGGTGGAAAAAACAAAAAGCCAACGAAAACATGCTTTCGCACCATCAGGGAGCGTGTGTTTTCAGGTGACGGTGTTCCCAACCCAAGCATATCCGCATGCAGCACGCCGGCGTCCCACCAGCGCGATCGCACGAGAGCGCGACGTACCTCGAAGACAAACTCGAGGAACCAGCTGTGCGACATGACCAGGTAGCCGCTGTCGCCGTTCTCCTCACCCCACGAGTTCTCCACGCGCCACTTGAGCGGCGTGCCGTCCTCCTGTCGCCGGCAGTGGGGGCCAGGTCAGCACGCGCTACGCCGCGTACCGAGCGCACGGGCCTTGCATAGGCTTGTCCTATCTCAGGGCGCATTGCAATGACATCGAGAGCTTCTACGGCGCGAGCGCTGCAAACCTGGACTCGAGAAGCGCCCCAGAAATCCTCCGTTCGTGCGTTCAAGTGAATCAGGCCAGACCGTTCCTAACCACAACACACGCTGACCAGAATGCTGCCACTAGCTGCACATAACCCACATCTGCGGTGGCCCGCGGACCACGCGAAATCCAACTTACATCGAGTGTGACACCCGTCAGGCACATGGCGTGGTTCATCATGGACTCGCCGAGCAGCAGGCGCTCCGCCTTGCTCAGTGGCAGGCTGACGTCCACACCGAACAGCAGCTTGTAGTCGTATCTGTAACGGCGAGGCCGGCCATTAGCTCTCAGCACACCGACCCGACACGCCGAGCTCAAGCAGAGCCGAGTCCGTCCCCAGTGTTACAGGGAGTCTTTCCGGTTGCATGGCTTCCAAAAGCGGGCATTACGTACAGTGTAAATAACTGGGTAAAATGTGGCGATGAGCTCACCAGCCACAGAACGGAGGAGGAAAATAGCGACGTGGCAGGGCAAAACAGGACGTACGGAAGAGGCATAAAGTGGGACGGGGAAAGGTGAGCACCAGCGCGCGTAAGGGCGAGAGAGGTGGGAGACGGACAAACACGGGGAGCGCCGCGAACACCAGTGACAACAAAACAAACGAGTTATAGCCACTAACATTGTGGGGTCGCTGATGCCCAGCTTGCTGGCGAAGGCCTTGCCGACCTCGCAGCCGAACCAGACGGGCTTGCCGTCGGTGAGCGCGGCGGCCGCCAGCCGGCCCAGCAGCTCCACCGGCTGGTTGTTGTAGATGGTGCGCCGGCCGCCCACCATGTTACCCAGACAGTCGACCGTGTAGGCGGCGCCGCTGGGGTTGGCGGGCCGCGGGTCGTGAATCAGACACACCTGGGGAGCAGGGCACGCGGCGAGCGTGGCGCGTTAGCGGGCGGCCGGCCACTGTCACGCCGGACAGGGCACCCACTGCGAGCGGGACGAGCACGAGGCGACACGACGCTAGCGACACAACACCTCGCCAAGTCAGAACAGACGCGTGTAACAGCCGACACAGCAATCAAGCCCGCTACCATCCACAATTTCACTGCGTGCCTGGGTACCCAATGAAACACGCTTAGGATTATTTCGCCGCCCGATAGCGACGAACGACGAGCAGCTGCGGCGCTGGTTATCACCACGACCAGCACCAGCCGGCTATGCCAGTGTATCGTACCACGTACACGCCGTGGACGTTTTACAGGGCGACAAACCGTCCCACGACCATGGCACCACGGTCACTATCTCTGCAGCCGGCCGACCGATCGCGGCAGCTCGCTCCCCCGCCCCTCGCGTGTCGGGTACCTGCTCAGAGGCGTTGAAGTGCGGCTTGACGTGCTGCTCGTAGAAGTCGCGCGGCGTGATGGGGCCGACCTTGTGGTAGGCCTTGTTCTTGTCGTAGTACTCCCAGGTGAAGGTGCGCGGCGGCAGGCCCAGGCAGATGGCCAGAATGCGGTGCACCTGGCCCACCTGGCGCGCGATCGTCGCCTCCAGGTCCTCGTCCGAGGCGCCCTTCTCCACCAGGTGGCGCAAGTCGCGCGTGAACTCGCGCAGCTGAAAGACGGAGCCTCCACTGTCAGGGGTCTGGGGACTGTGTGTGTGTGTGGAGGGGAAAGGGGGCAGCGCGTGCGGTTGACGGTGCGGCGGCCAGCTCACGATATACACTATTGCGGGGTGCTGGCTTATGTTATGTGGTAGGGTCACGTGCTAGTGTTTATAAAATGAAACGCAGGTTGCCATTTTCAGCAGCACCGCGTCATTTATGACGGCTAGATAAACCAACCACAATTCACCCCAGACGGGCAATGATTCTAATGATGCAACGTTACAGCCCTGTGCGGAGCGTGCTATTTCGGAAAAATTGCCTGTGGTGAGGCTTCATACATATGGTGCGAACTTGCCCGGCTAACTAGCGATGCTCAAGCAAAATCGTCGCACTGGAAAGTCTTGTTGGCTAGGAAAAGCGGCCCTATCCAAACCCTCCACATTCCGCGGCAGTTCAGCACGACTTCTGAACGGCACGAATTCCACTCCGGCGCTTGCCTTGCCTAATCGCCACCATTGCCGGCATCCCACCCCACAAACACGCACGCAGCTACACAGTCACAGAGAGCGCCGCGTCCGTCGACACTGGGCCGTGTTCGCGCGGTCGTCCGCGGGCTCTGCGGACGACGCCATCGCTGCCCGAGCCGTGCACTGCCGGCACCACGGTTACGCCACCACTATACAAAAACTATCACTGCATCCGTGATTTACCGGAGTCGGCGCCGCGTAATGCGGCGAAAAGTTTAACGCGTGGGAAATCACTGATGCACACCTGTACAGGATTGTCGGCGCAGTTCTGACAATCTCCGGCGAAACTCAGATCCACGCAGCTGGATGCCAAAGACGCCGAAGTTCGCGAAGAACGCCATCGCCGCACCCAAATTACCCATCCGTGAGAGATAACCATGTATCGTGGGATTCATCGCTAAGACTAAACCCACGTTCACTAGCGTTTTTCACATCAATGAGTTCGTCAGCAGCCCGTGAAGAAAGCGAACACGCACGTTGCAGTTACACTGGCACCCACAGTCAGATAGTAGTGAGGGGTAAGGGTAACCAGCAGCACTGTTCGGAAGACCGTTATTGGGCCACTGGCTCCCAACTTTGACAAGCACCGAATGAAACGATACAATATTAAACGATGGACAGCACTGAACCAACTGATGAATTACCACCGTTGCAGGCTTTTCTTACTTATGCACCGAGTGTCATACTTCGCATCTTCCAAAATTGTCAGTCTTCGCGAAAAGAAGCTCAGCGAAGGTAACAGTTACAACGACGGCACTGTCCGAAACGATTTTTTCAAGCGCTCCTTATATGGGCCGCCTAGTGGCCGATGCTCACAAAATACGCAGGCTCCAAGGACAGACACAAAGTCCAATATCAGCGGCCAGCCTGGCCGACCTCAGCGATGCTCTCGCCACATCCGGCCGGTGTCGCGCGCCCGGCGCCGCTCGCGGTCTCGGCTCACCTTGCTGGTCACGATCGAGTTCATGCGGCCAGAGTTCTTGCCGCAGTGGGCGTCCGGGAAGCAGCGCTTCGGCACCACGCCGTACTTGTTGATCAGGTTGAGCAGCATGTCCCACTGGCCGCCGTCGCAGATCGGGCTCTGCGGTGCAGACCGGGGCACCCGCTCAGCGCGAGGCCATAGACCGGGGCACCCGCTCAGCGTGAGGCCTCAGACCGGGGCGCCCGTTCAGCGTGAGGCCACAGACCGAGGCGCCCGCTCAGCCTACGACCACAGGCCGGGGCGCCCGCTCAGTGCGAGACCACAGACCGGGGCGCAGGTTCAGCGCGAGGTCACAGACCGGGGCGTCCGCTCAGCACGCGGCCAAAGACCGGGACGCCCGCTCAGCCTACGACCACAGGGCGGGGCGCCCGTTCAGCGCGCGGTGACAGACCGGGGCGCCCGCTCAGCCTACGACCACAGGGCGAGGCGCCCGTTCAGCGCGCGGTGACAGACCGGGACACCCGCTCAGCGCGCGGGGAGAGCAAGCGGGGAGCGCGACCGCGGGATAGACAGTTGATTCTCTCATGTCATGCCACGAAGCCGGGCCTGACTTCTGTAACACCTGGAACAAGCGCGCGACTCGCTCTGGATATGATTGCATCTGTCCGACGAGATGAAACTAAATGTTAAACAAGTAATGCAGCAACATGATGAATGTATACAACTGCCGTATATGACATGGAAGGTAAATGGTGCCGGCGAAAATGCACGTTGTTCAAAGGAACACGGACAAACAGGCTTCTCTAGTGAACAGCGCACGCGTAGTGCGCGTGACTTTCAAAAAATATTCGGCATGCCTGAGTGTTTTTCTAACGCGACGCCACGCCCTGAATTCGGCTGACGGCCTGAACCATGTACAAACTACTAAATTTCGGTCTCCAATCGAAGACAATTTGTGGTCAGTTTGTCGATTTGGTTAAAAAGGATGAAGGTTAGTGACCCAGACAAATTGCTTGCACACATTTTTGGTCTGTCTTTGTGTCTGATGGCTGAACATATCGTCATAAAAACAAATGGAAAACGCATTTTCAACCTAGGAACGCATAATCTCAGCAAAATATCCCCCCTCCAAGGAGGGGAAGGGGGACGGGTAATGTCCTACCGAGAGCAGGAACGACACGAGCCGGCCGTCCACCGGCTCGCCGCGTTTGGCCGTCTCCACCACCGTGTGCAGGAAGTAGTTGGACCGCTCCACCTGCGCACAGGGCGGCCGGTCAGACGCACGAGGGCAGGCCAGGGGCGCGCGCACAGGCCGCCAGCATAGCCACGCGACAGCTGTTTGCCGCAACATTCTGCAATAAGTTTGAAACGGAAAAGGAGAACATTAAACAAGATAATACAACAGACATTCAGTGGCATGCGTTACATGACGGCCGTTGCGTACGCTATCCAAAAAGCAGCTCCACCCCACATGCAAGCGACTGTCTGAGCTACTGGGACCGGACAAAATGCCACCTCGCGCCAGGCGTCCGCCAGCGGCCGCACCTTGTCCCAGTAGAACAGTTGGCTCTGGCTGAACTCGAACTCCTCGATGTTGAGAGCCTTCATGAAGGGGATGCGCATGGCGTTCAGGCCGGCGAAGATCCAGCAGCGGCCGCTGGAGGCCTGGTCACAGCGCGGCCGCGCCTCGTCCACCTGGCGGTCCACAACGGAGACAACGCCGTCAGCAAAGCCGCAATTGGCAAAACGGCACCAATGCATCGTGTATTCAGACGTAACGCGAAAGAGACAATGCCAGAGGACAAACAACACTGCTAATGTCGCTCAGCGAACCCGTAAGGTACACCGCGTCACTGGAACCAGCATTTAGACAATCGCATCCTTGGCTTCTTAAGAAGCTGTCGAAGGCCTATTCCCCCGATTGATACCTGGCATTTGACCGCAGATTACCTCGAAGCACGCTAGGCCTGGCGATCCAGCTAACAAAGACAAAGGTACTCGGCGAGACGCTCGTTTGACGTGCCGGGTGCCACTTACTACAACGGCTGCATTGTACGCCCGTATCATGCCTGCACGCCATTACAACGCAAATCTCGTGCTTTCACGGCCCATGAACGCTACTTCTCGGCACTATCCCACAAAGGATGGGGTGCTCCCAGCAGGGAGGATGATAATACGGTTGGAGAAGTAACGATTCTGCTAATGGCAGAGTCACGGAGAGTGGGGAACTGACGCCTTCTGCTTAAGCTTCATGTCACCATCAGCAAATCTCGGAAACAACTGAAGAACAAATTGCATGCGGTGTAAAACCCCACGGCCTCCTTAAGCTTAATTAAGCAACGACTTGCATGCGCCGTACTCGCCGTGCACCTGTTCTAAAAACGCCGTCAATTTTTCACCTCGAAAATTATCGGCTTGAGGCTCGTAGATCTGCTGGCAGGGATCATTCAGAGAAGCGGCACGATCGTGGCCACGCCACCAGCTACACCATCACGGACATTGGCCACCGATTCGTCGAAGCGCGCACGTTCAGCTGGCGGACGTGGGTGTGCTGAAGGCCGGCGGCGCGGCCCGTGCAGCGGGGCGACCCGCCCCTGCCAGCCCGGCCCGCTCAGCTCAGCTCCTGCCAGCCTGGCCCGCTCAGCTCAGCTCCTGCCAGCCTGGCCCGCTCAGCTCAGCTCCTGCCAGCCCGGCCCGCTCAGCTCAGCCGCTGCCAGCCCGGTCCGCTCAGTTCAGTCCTGCCAGCCCGGTCGGCTCAGCTCAGCCCTTAGCCAGCGCGGTACCGCGTCCGTCTCAGCTGCGGCGCGCGCTGGGCGGCGCGGCCGCGGGGCATCCGAGCGGTCCAGCTGAGCGCGGCGAGGTCAGCCGACCAGCCGCCACGTTCGTCGAGGCGTGCACAGGCCGTCGTCTGGCAGCGGGCCGACTCCTGCCCTGCGGGCTCGCCGCCACCGGACCCAGCGGCGTTCCCACGCTTTCCATACGGACGGGCGCGGCGCGGACTTTCGCACAACACCGCGCAATCATCCGTAACGGCGGCCGCTGACGGTAATCACGGCCAATAGCGCCGGCCGCTGTCCGCGCCCGCTCAGTCCACTCGCTCTCTCTCCACAGGGCACAGGTCGGCGCGAGGAGCACTGCGGCGCTGGCGGCCAATCGCATTCGTATCGAAATCTCGTGGTCTTAGGACGCCGCAGCTACTATGGTTATTTGTGTCCGTGCCGTATCCCCTTCACTCACTGATGATGTAGTAGGCACACGCCTGCTCAATGCCTGGCGCGAGCGTGTATTGGGGACTGTACACTGGGAGCGACGGTTGACGTCAGACTGCGACACCGTGACGTCAGACTGCGTCATGAGAGAAGCTCCCCGAGTTTGCCCGGAGTGCGCCAGTGGCCAGGCCGTGGAGCGTGAATCGGCACCTCTTCCCCAGCATCGTGATGGGGCAGTGTTACACGCGCAACTGACGCCCATCACAGACACCAACGATCCTCCGAACGACGACACTGGTCAGCGACAGCGAGCGCCGGTCGGGCGCAGCTTAGACACCAGCGATCCTCCGAACGACGACACTGGTCAGCGACAGCGAGCGCCGGTCGGGCGCAGCTTAAGACACCAGCGATCCTCCGAACAACGACACTGGTCAGCGACAGCGAGCGCCGGTCGGGCGCAGCTTAGACACCAGCGATCCTCCGAACGACGACACTGGTCAACGACAGCGAGCGTCGGTCGGGCGCAGCTTAGACACCAGCGATCCTCCGAACGACGACACTGGTCAGCGACAGCGAGCGTCGGTCGGGCGCAGCTTAGACACCAGCGATCCTCCGAACGAAGACACTGGTCAGCGACAACGAGCGCCGGTCGGACGCAGCTGAGCGAGCGCGCGCCACGCGCCACACCCGGCCGCCTCCGTTGCCGCTGCGTCTCCCCGTCACCCACGAGCCTCTCACAATGATCAACTCCTTGGTTAACTCCCTGTTCGGCCAGGTCGCGACCCATCCGCCGCCGACAAGCGCGGCCGGTGCGCCGGGCGGCGCCGGAGCGTGCGGCGCCCCGTCAGGCGGCGTGCCGCCCCTCTCACCTTATGCTGGAACACGTGGTTGATTTCCTCAAGCGCGCGCCGCCCGATTGCCGCCTCGTTTGGGTCGTACTTGGTGCAGACGTTCTGGGCCAACAGGTTCCTCGGCTCGGCCACGAACTCGGCGCGCAGCCGGTCCATGAACTCTTCGCTGAGGCTCACTGCCGGCGGGAAAGGTCAGGTCAGCCCAGACCGAAAGTGGCCCGGTCACCAACTCACACTCCCACACCCACACACAACACTGATATCTCACTATTCTCACACCTGACATCACACACCAGGTATCTCGCTACTCCTTCCAGACCGATGGCATTCCACATCTTCCATTCACCGATATAACACGCGCCAAAACGGATATGCAAAACAAATCCGAAGCACTGGTGGTTTACATAAACTATTTGATCGTCTGGCACCCAAATGCATAGCAAGCTGTTTTGAATGTATACGTAATGCGCTGGATCAGTGGAGGTTTATGAAACGCATGGTTACTCGGACACTCCAGCAGATGTGCTTCCGTTTGGCGGACCTCGTCCGCATCACCTATTTTTACCCGACTGCACACGCCGCACACTCGAACGCCCCTGTTCCAAACACGGCGTTTTGCAGCAGCAACGGCTCGCACCGGGGGCTGGATGTCGCATGCGGCCCGACGGCCTGGGCAGTTTACACCCGACATCCGCATCGTGGCTATTGTATTCCGGATTCCTGCACGGTCTTCCCTGTGGTCGTTGGGCATTCCATTTCCAAGTTGGCCAGCTGAACACATTTTTCCCAGCCAGCTTCCCCGACGGTTCAAAAACGCCACTTCGTGCACTGTCAACGCCGACTCCACTTCATAACCGTATGCGGCTACCCGCCATAAGGCCGTATTAAAGCGGACCTTTTTGCCGCTGAGAGTCTATACCAAAGGCACTCAATGTTTGTGGCCATCAAATTGCTGAGGCGGCTTCGAGAAGTGCGCGTGTGATTCGTCCTCGCAGCCCGAGTGGCCGCGGGGACCTTGCCAGACCCCACGAGACCACTGGCGACACTGAAGGGAGGCGGCTTCGAGAAGCGCGTGTATGATTCGTCCTCGCAGCCCGAGTGGTCGCGGGGATCTTGCCAGACCCCACGAGACCACTGGCGACACTGAATGCCAGCACCACCGGCTGTTATTGCTCTGCATTTCGCAATCGCCGATAAATTTAACCACATATCTCGACTCTTGGAACGCGCCCACGTCAACACCGTGACGGTTTTGGACGTCAGCGAACCCAGCAGCATGCGATCGGGTTCAGCGGTCCCGCGTCTGTAGCATCATATCAGCGTCGTGCCGTGTCCGCAGCTTCGTGGCCTCAACTATGTGTCCGCAGCCGCGTGTCCGCAGCTGTGTTGTGCTCTCCGCTCCGTGCCCGCACTGTGACGTGTCCGCAGCTGCTGTGCCCTCCGCCCATGTTCGTAATGAGCCGTGTCCGTAGCTGTGTCGTGCCCTCCGTTTCGTGTCCGCAGCTGGGTCGTACCCTTCGCTCCGTGTCCGCAGCTGGGTCGTACCCTTCGCTCCGTGTCCGCAGCCCCGTGTCCGTACTGTGCCGTGTACTCTGCTGGGCCGGGCGGACGGCTTCCACCCCCCCAGGGGGGCCCAGCGCCGCTGGCTCCAAGGGTCAGGAGTGACACATCTGGATATAACGGCGCGGGGTCAACTGTCCACGTCGTCACTGAACGCCCGGTGTCCACTGCGGCCGGCTCCTGGTCCTGCAGCCGGCTCCTGGCCCTGGTCGGCGCCGGCCGGCTCGTGGTCCTGCAGCTGGGTAATGATCCTGAGACGGCTCTTGGTCCTGCGGCCGGCTCCTGGCCCTGGTCGGCGCCGGCCGGCTCGTGGTCCTGCAGCTGGGTAATGATCCTGAGACGGCTCTTGGTCCTGCAGCCGGCTCCTGGCCCTGGTCGGCGCCGGCCGGCTCGTGGTCCTGCAGCTGGGTAATGATCCTGAGACGGCTCTTGGTCCTGCGGCCGGCGCTCCGCGCTTTCCAGCCGTCGGCTGACCTAGTTTGCCCACCCCCAGTCTCCTGTGAGGTCTGATCCCGTCACTGCAGATACAGCAATCCGAAGTCAGGGTGGCGCAAGGCCCCGGACAGCCTGAGGTCTCAGTCCCTCAGACAGCAGGGGCAGTCGTCCCAGGACTGGCGCGGTGTCGCTCCCGGGCCTGTGGATCCGGGCGACTGATCCGGCCTGCTGCATGCGGTCCCGTGACCGCGCTCCGCGGCTCTGTGTTACATCGTGCGCCTCCGAATGCGGGCCCCCGAGATATGCGCCACCAGGGGCCGTAGTGGGCGCCTCGTTTGTTATGAATCACATTCCGCCGCGGACTCCGACCGCATCATCCAAAGGCAACAGACGGCCGCCCAGCCACACGGCCGGCGTTACTGCCGCTGTGAGGACGTGGCTGGTGAATAGCTTTGGCCCAGCACGATCTCTCGGCACAACGCCCAGACAAAGAGCGCTGTGGGCGAAGGGGTGGCAGAGCGGCTTGTGCCCCCCCCCCCCCCCCCCACGACAGCGCTGATCCCATTGCTTCAACGGTTCCGCCACCGCGTCAATGCTCTGCCCCGCCCGCCCCCAGACACCAGTGTGAGTCCCAGATTATCCGTTTGATCCCCGATGCTGTCAATCCTGATGAAGCCCCCCTTCAGACACACATGTTTTCGTTGATGAGATCCGTAAACGTCTTGCAACTGCAGTACCGTTCGGGACAGTAATCCAGCCAAATACCACGTCATACCGAGATTCCCGACGTTGTGAGCTAAACCGATGCATCCCACGCGAATCTTACCCATTCATGTCCTGCATCCACGTACTCTGACATTATTCATTTCAAAGCCGGTCTGTGGCTCTCCGCGCGAGCGACCTAAAATGCACTCCGCTTGCTGCGGAACCGAACGGCGCCCGCCGGCCGCAGTCAGCGAGGCCGTCAGCTAGGCCTCGGGCAATCCTGGGCCGCAGGTCATCAGCGGGGCAGCGGGGCGCATCTCTTTGTACATGTCACACTTAAATCAATGAGCGAAAGGATATTCATCGAATCACCGCCGATCGCATCGGCACGTAAAACCGCAGGCGACGTGAAATAGTCGCTGCGTTTTGCGCACATAAAGGGGAAAGCGATGCATACACGAGGCACGCACAGGCACAGGGACGGCTGTGCGGCTTCGGTCGGACCGCAAGACACCAGATCCTGTTCAGTGCCCGACTCGACCGAGGTCCTCATTAACATCCATAATGACGCCCATCGTTACAGTAACACAATGTCACCCACGGCATACGTGGCTAACACAGCATGCTTGTGTTGACACTGCGGTACGCGGCCACAAAACGTGCGCAGCGTGGTTCGGTTGAAGATAGGTGCTGGACCCAAGCACGCAAGGCAAATGGTAATAGAGGTGAAGTAGCCATAGCAGAGGAGCATGACTGATCGCCGACCCATACCGGGCTCTTACTTTCATTCGAGCTCTTGGCTTCGTTTCTGCTAGCACGCCACGATTGCATGGGGAAAAATGTGGCCAATTGTGGTATCCTTTACGAGCCGGAAACTTTTAGACCATACCCAGAAACACGAGCATGTTGCTAGGTGGTGCATTCCACAGTTCATGCAACATACATGTGAACGGGACAGCCCATCCAGCTAACGCAGTCCTTTGGATGTAATTTGCATGACCTTGCCGTGTTTTCAGAACCCATGATTTCTAAATGCGCCAGTGATATATAGTATCTGATGTAATCCTTCAGTCAGCTCGAACATGTTTACTCTGGTGGCGACGACGAGAACCCTGAAAGGCGTTCTTCGTTCTCTAAACAGTCCTCGGACGGTATCAAGTCACACAAGCAACTCAGGTTATACCGTTCGCAGATCAAGTCAAACCAAGTCGCAGCACGAGCGTGCGCCGCTTAATCCAAGGTGTAACACACGGCTCTCTAGTTTGCAGACGACAGAACACATAAAAGCACGAAATGGGAGCTATGCGACAAATCTTCCGTCCTCAGGACCAGTACAGCACAAGAAAAGCTTTCGGCATCCTTTGGTGGGAATAGGCAACACTTAGGCAGCACAATGTCCTCGATACAACATAACTGGTCATTCTTGACAGGGCGCCTTCCCGTGCGTGGCCACAATCCGCCGCCGCCAGGCCATCTTGCAGCACAGCCACAGAAGTAACCGGCTATCAGTACCTGAGCGGGCAAAAGCTCTCGTTCCGCAGCCATTCTCGTCTCGTCGGGATACAAAACTCGCTAGCGTCGGGCCTAATGGCCTGCATTGTCAGACGAGCCACTAACGGACTTATCTAAGCCGCCCCGCAGAACGTAAACCGGCCATTAGCGGCACCCGAGAGAGTGAAGGCCACGCACCCGTTACCCCCCCGACGGCCGGCACCGCCGCTGCGTCTCGGGGGCCGGTCCGGCGGCGTTCCGCGAAGCGGCGCCGGCCGGCACGTGTCATCCTGTTTGGCGGTGGCCGGCCGGCCGCCGACAGACGCCGTAAGTGGCGCAGCCGACACCCGCCGCCGGGGCGGTACACAGAGAGAGAGCGCGCGGCGGCGGCGGCGGCCGTGCGCAGCGGGCGGCGTTCACCGAACGGCCGGCGCCGGGGCCGGGGCGCTCCGGCCCCATTCAATATGCGCATATCTGCACGCGGCGGTCGGACAAGGACACGGGCTGGACGGCCGGCGGTCAGCCGGGCCGTGCGGCTGGAGAGGTCGGGCGCCCGCAGCTGCGCGCGCCCGGATCGGGCAGATGTGGCCTACATGCGTTGGAAGCGGTCAGTAACTACCGACACTGGACCGGTGGCATGTGGCTTACACGCGCCACGGCCAGTCAACCGTGCCTGGCCAAGTAAAACCCCATATCACGGCTGTGGTCGGCTGACACCGGGGGTGTCCAGTTCTCTACTGTCCTGGTTTCTGGCGCCATGCCAGCCGCGTTCCTCATCCAGACGTGACACGATCTCGGTCCGCTCGGCCATTCGCCTCCATTTCTTGCACTTCCGCGACTGCCTGCGTGAGGTCATTAACTGGACATCATAGAGGCCTGCGCGAACAGATCTGTTTGCCAAATAAATAGTGTGTGGTTTATTTGACCAGCTGGCACATCCAAGCATAACGTGCCTATTACGCGCCCGTCTCATTGCCGTTATTGCTGTTTATAAATCCAGGCTAGCCGAGCAAGTATCCCTTTCTCAACCAGAAGATGCATACGGAAGTACTGTTCGGCGCCATGGGTGAAGCTTGGTATCTCTTAACAAGGACCTTGCCTTCGCCTAATGGTCGTTTCAGCCCCCAGACGCCGTGCCGAAAACGCATTCGGAAACATTTGGGCAGAGCGTACAAAAATTGCGAAATGCCTCCTGCTGCCGAAACGAGCCAGGCATACCGAGCAGGAGCAGCTCTGGAGAGTAAACGTGCAAATGCACGTCATTACTGGAATACATTAACGCTGGAAATCAATTAAAAAGGCGGCAGGACACCTGCTGTCTTCCGCGACATTAGCCCGATGTTGCGCAGGCGACCCGTGGCCACCGTCAAGGGACCAATTCACGGATCATGGCTGGGCAGCTACAGACGCCAACAATAACAAACATCGAGTAAGCGGATCACTTCCTTCCGTCGAAACCGTGATCGACTTAACACCAAGCCTCTCGGTACTGACTTTGAAGCCCGTCTCCTGGGAACACAGGCTTTCACCCGAAGGGCCACCATAAACAAACCAGGTAGCTGCTAACCATGGAAGAGTCCCAAGCAAAGCGTACACAAGGAGGCCGGGTCTACCGCAGAGCAGAGGACCGTTTGCAACGCTCTAACGCACCAGTACGATCCTCCGACACATTTGGCGACAGGAAACACGGCGGACGTATACACGAGTCGATAAGAGCAGAAGTCCGTGACCGACCACAGGCACGGAAGACGTTCGGGCGGGAGTGAGGGGAAAGGGCGGTTAGACCGGGCGTGCTTATTGCCGAGCGTTTATGGAAAACACAGCCCCCACCCGCCGTCTGCCATCACGTCCATGTCGCGGGTCGTGCTAAAGTGCCGCTGGTGTCCATGCCAACACCAGGCAGAACAGCTTCAGAGCGCTGACCCCTGCCAGGAAGTGTTACGTTTTTTATCAGCATTCTACAAGCATTGCCTAACATACTGTTCAAACTGTCCCATGGCTGGGGGTGTCCATCCTGAGGAATGAGCCTGTCTGTTCCAAACAACCTGCAATCTAACATGCTCAGAAAATGCCTCAGGAAAGCAGGCAACAAATCCAAGCAAATGGGGGACAGAATTGCATGGCTCCCATCCAGTGCAGAAATATCTACATACTTGGAGTGAAAGAATGATGATATTTTAAGCTAATACATCCTGGCTCAGGTTGCACTACCTGCTGTTTCTCCTTTTACTTAATAACTGCCAGTCAGCATTGTGCTGGCTGGAGGCCAAACCAGCAAGCATCTAGGCACCTCTAGCTTGGCAAACCTGCTGGGCAGGTGTCACATGGGTGGGCTTAACAGATCTGCTGCCCATGTCACCTTAAGGGGCAGAAGGCAACTCATTATCAGCCAAGAAGATGAGCTGCAGGCAGGATATACCATCACACAACCATAACTCTCTTAGCATGATGTAACATATGCACATTGTACACTCAACTCCATAAATTTTGAAATATTGCCCAGTCCAACTTTTATATTTTAGCACTTATTTGACCAAGAGAAACAGTCAGTGGTAAAGTGTTGGTTTTGAAATGAGGTTGGCACGAAAACATTTTTCAGAGCTGGCATGGCAATATCAGGCAGATTGATGTTCATAAACCTTCATGTCAATTGCTGTTTAAGGCAATAGCAAGAATCATACTTAGACTTGAATTTGACTCACTTTTTGGTACAATTACTCATAGAATTTCATACATTTAAAATAATACATATTGCCCTATCCTCCAGACTTTTGTATGTTTCTACTCACTTCCTACATACATAGCTCAAGAGCAATTTTTGACAGCCCAATCCCTTCAAAATGCATGAGCATCTGAAATTGGGTGCAAGACTGGTCACAATAGCAGCTAAAACCCAGTGCCTTCTTGCCAGAAACTCATGTCCAGGCCTTCTTGCCAGAGAGCTGGGTGTCACCTGCAATCAGAAAGACCCTCCACAATTTGGTCCTTGGAGACATAGGGAGCTGTCTCTGGAAGCTGAGCTAAAGTCTGCATCACTGGATAGTGGCCCAAATCAGTGGTGGCTATAGCATCAATGCACTGTTGAGTCAATGCATGCTCATTTGCTGGGATGCTTGCTGTCAAAATTCAGGTTGTAGTTTGCTGCACTGCTGGTAAAATCTGGGCCATCTATTTTCTTTTTCCCTTTGCAACATCTTGTTCTCTTTTGCATGCACCCACAAGGTCTCTGGCAGGTTAAAAGCTTTCAACAGGACCAGAATTTAAGATGTGGCAGCCTCACTGTCATGTGTTAGCAGCATACTGTCTTCCTTCTGCACCAATGGTGGATTTTCATATTCAGGTAGGAAAACTCTCATTCCCAGCTTTGGGATAAAGTGAAAAGCCATTTTACCTTCTATTTTATCTACAGGAAACCCCATATTAACATGTTTTGAGGGTAACTTTAGACATTTTCCTGATTATCCTCCAGCTTAACTTATGACCTACACCTCTGGTTTGAACAAAATACCAACTTGTCGTATCATTATGTGCTGCGGGCAGATGGGGAGGTGAAATGCATTCACACATTCAGCTAATCAATCAGACTATACCTTTAAAAATATGGGCATACTTACTTTTGCTTCTTAATGTTGGTAGCCCGACACTTCGTCCTGGAAGGTACCGATCGATGGAAGCGAGCTGTGCTGCTGTGGAGGCGCAGGCCGGAACTATGCACACCGTCTTCTCTTTCACTTATGAGCTCAACCTTAAGCGTACACGAGTGATATAGCTACGCAAATCGATGGGGCAGATGAAAAGTAACCAAGTACGCACCTATCCACCCTCCTACCCCGGCACAACCTCGCGAGGGAATGAACCGAATGAATGACGGCGCCCTCATAAAACGCCTTCCTAACTGTTCCCAACGTCTTCTGCCCTGCGGAAAATATGGGAAAATAGTAGATGTCCCTAGCTACTACCAATCAAAGCACTGGCATGTGCCAAAAGCTGCGCTATGATTGGTCTAGAGGATCATCGTTGGGCTCTCGTTTACTAATGACAACAGCACTTATGAATGCGGCGTAAGGTGCACCAGGAATGTCTCCAAAATGTGACTCGTTCGTAGAAAGAATGAACTTATAACGGAATGTACTACTCATGTGCACTTATGGCAGCTATAGTTTCTGGTATGAATTTTGCTTAAATTGCATAATCTTTTTCTAGGGCTGAGTTAAGTCTTTTCATGATATTCAGAATTGCTCTTGTCGTGTCATATTTGACACAGCAGACGAACATACCCATTGATGACGCATCAAAACTGGCTTACCTAAAATAACATTTTATTAACTCCTTTTATAGCGACTCAAAATACCAGTTCAATTTAATTTTAGCTGCATTCTTGCGTTATCAACGCAGGAAGTGTAGTGGCTCCTTCTGTGGATGGCGATTTTTTAAACTTTACCAGACCTGTGCGTTGATTGGTTACTACGGATCATTTTGAACAACACTGCCTTGAGACGAATTGTGACGCGGGCAGTGAAGGTGTATAGGCTTCTTCGCGCACTGTTCAAAAAAGTATTTTCAGCTGTAAAATTTACGTTGAGCAAACGGACGTCGTGCGAGAGTCTTTTATTGCGAGGAACCGCCCAACCTTTATGAGAAGGTAGTGATTGGACACAAGTGGCTGCAGGCCGTGAAGAGGCCATTCCTGAATCGTGATGAGGCCTCTGTAAGTTGAATCGCCACTTCTACCGTTGCATGTTTGATGCAGTTTGAAAATTATGGTCATTTATGAAGAAGATAGAGGGTTTTTTTACTGATCTTGTTTGATCAGTTTTGTGTCACCATTGTCAACACCCGGTGTATTAAAGCTCTTAGAGAGGGAGAGAGAGAGAGAGAGAGAGAGAGAGAGAGAGAGAGAGAGAGAGAGAGAGAGAGAGAGAGAGAGAGCGAGAGAGAGAGAGAGAGATATATATATATATATATATATATATATATATATATATATATATATATATATATATATATATATATATATATATATGTATATTTGTGCACATATTACCAGAATCCAATTGAGATTTTCAGGGTTTGGGACCATTTAAAAAGTTTGGAAACTTGAAATGTCAGCTTTAAAAAAAAATTGTGTCATAGTCTGAATGTAACCAGATGAAACTTCAAATCCAGCTTGTAGCAGAACAGAACTTGTGTGGGCTGTGTGTATGATATGTACTGGCATAAAGTGCGGTTTGGTGCACCAATATGTGCATTGCCTGTTCGGTCATCAATGTATTCCTGTTGACAATGTTTTTTGTGCTTGCGTGATAGTAGCAAAGTGAATTCAATTTCTTTTTGTTTTGTTTTCTGTGGCACATCATGTGTTTTTCTATGTGTAGTAGTTGCACTGTGCACACTTCATCTGATGCAGCTTATTTAAATGCATAGTTGTAAAATCCTGTGTTTTTGTGTTTTTTTATGACAAAAGATTTAGGCATGGTATGGTGGGTATATTGAAATAAGTGGTAATTGTCATAAATATGGCACACAATGTAAGTGGTTTTGCACTTGTAGCCATCCTTTTCCCATTAATGTCTATGCCATCCAATCTCACATGACCAATATGCAAGATTTGTGTACATCACATTCAGGATGCACCTGGGCCAGTTTGCAAAACATCCCTCCACTACACTTTGTTTATGTGCCTAAACCTGGGCCATGCATATGCTGGACTCAGGTTAGGGCTAATTGTGTTGTATGCTCAGCTCATTTTTTGCTTGAAAACATGTTTTAGATGCTGTTTTCTGAAATATGTTTGGCACAACATGCATATTTACAGCATGGCAATTAAGATTGCAGCTCTGCAAGCAAGTTACATAAACTTAAGATTTGTAATCAACAGGGAATACTAATATGTTAGGTTGTAATAACAGGAAATGATCTTCTATTATGCATAGCTTGAAATGGTTTTTTGATATTTAATTACCGTAGCCACCTGCGGCCTGATGCTAAAACTTGAACCAGCCAGATTTAACCATAAATGTTCCACTTTATTGAAAGATATTATTCACTGGTTGTTTCAAAAATCACTTAATTCTGACATGTGCCCAGGTGTAAAAGCTGCTGGGTTGTAAGATGCTCAAAGTTCTACATAGTGTCAGCAAATTATATTTGACTTATTTCGGGTACACCTATCTCCTTAGTTGCCTGGTACTAAAATGGCAGTGAGTCATATTGAACCATGAATATGCTGTTTATATGAAACATTATTTTTAACCAGTCATTTGAAAAGCACTTTCAGTTGTTATATATGCCTAAATGTAAAAATTGCCCAGTTGTGAGATGTTTATAGCTGATACTTGGTGTAAGTAGATCACTGTATATATATATATATATATATATATATATATATATATATATATATATAATTTTGAAAATGATGTTTCCTGCAACCTATCCCTTAGAAAAACACACATGTGTATATATGTGTATATATATATATATATATATAGATATATATATATATATATATATATATATATATATATATATATACACACATATATATATATATATTACACATGTGTGTTTTTCTAAGGGATAGGTTGCAGGAAACATCATTTTCAAAATTTAGTGTCAGTGCTCAAAATGTTCAAAGGAAAATTGGTAATGTCTCCAGGCTGGTGATGGATGTCTTAGCCTGAAGTAAACAGAGGGATAGTTGTAGTGTGGTTCTTTTTAGCATAGGTTTAGGTAGTTACTGAAACATCACAAATTATCACTGTTCAGATGTGTTAAATCACTGCTAAATTTCTATCAGAAAGGAAGCATTCCACCCCATGGGTGTTCCATGGTCTGCTGTGTTTTTGGATATGTCTTACAAGCTCTTGCCCAGGATGACATTTTGACCAAGAGAGGCTAGCATACTGTGACTGCCAGCATGCTGACCTAATGTGGCCCAGCTCAGCGACTGCTGTCGCTGTCCGCACTCGGCCTGATCCTGTGCCCATCTTGCCAGTCGGACCAAGGCGGGCGTGCGCAAGACGCCGGTCGGCCGGCGCGGCCGGCGCTGCCCGAGGGCGTCGACCCGGTGCAGGTGGTGTGCCGGCTGCGGCCGGCCGCCGACGGCGAAGAGAAGTGTGTCGAACAGCTGGACGACACGGCCGTGCTGGTCACGCCGCCGGCCCACTCGCAGGTCCGTCCCCGCCGCCCGCCGCCCGCCGCCCGCCACCCGCCGCTCCCGGCTCGCTCGACGACGGCTACTCCGCGTGTAGCCAGCGTCTCCCCGCATGTAACCGCGTCTCCCCCACGTGTAGCCGGCGTCTCCTCGCGTGTAGCCGACGTCTCCCCGCATGTAACCGGCGTCTCCCCCACATGTAGCCGGCGTCTCCTCGCGTGTAGCCGGCGTCTCCCCGCATGTAACCGGCGTCTCCCCCACATGTAGCCGGCGTCTCCTCGCGTGTAGCCAGCGTCTCCCCCGCGTGCAGCCAGCGTCTCCCCGCGTGCAGCCAGCGTCTCCCCCACGTGTAGCCGGCGTCTCCCCGCGTATACCCAGCGTCTTCCCGCGTGTAGCCAGTGTCTCCCCCGCGTGTAGCCGGCGTCTCCTCGCTCCAAGCTGTGTCCACGCCTGTCATCTGTTAAGGCCTGTGAAACGAATTAATTTTACCGTCTGCAAGGCATGGTTGATCGCACGCCGCATGCATCCTCCTGGTCACTGCGACGCGCCGGGCGGCAGGCTTTCCGGTACGGCACGGCCAAGGAGCAGCAATACAAGTTCAACGTGGTGTTCCCGGAGTTGGCGTCGCAGAAGCAGGTGTTTGACGCGGTGGCGCGGCCTCTGGTCAGTGATCTGCTTAGTGGCAAGAATGGTCTGCTCTTCGCCTACGGCATCACAGGCAGTGGCAAGACACACACCATGATGGGTGAGGGAGCGTGCGACGGCGGTCCACAGCGTGGTCACGCCGCACCGAATAAATCCGAATGTTGTGAGGGCGCACGCGTTGAAACGTTATTGTGTGCCGGTATGACTAAGGGCATAGTTAGACGTCGAGTTGGTAGTGCGAACGTGGAGACTGTTGCCAGCCGGTATCCTGTTAACACCGGTGAACGTAAATGGCCTGCCTATGTAGTCGTTGCTAGGTGTTCCCGAAAGTTACGGCCCGAGTGGTCTCTGTTGTTGCCTGTGAAGTGCGGTCGAATGACGTGCCGTTTTGTTTTTGTTGTATTTTTTGTATGCTGCCTGCGATTGAATGTGGCTATGAACGTGCTGGCCACACTGGTTTGTGTGTCAATGTGTTCTTTGTATCTCTTGCATAAGCGTCCATTCGAAGCCTTGGTGTGGAGTTCATAATCATAAGACTTGTAGGTGCCCAGATGGGATCACTTTGAGGCAACAAGAACTAGCAGTGCATCTGTATAGGTTTCAGCTTCGCACACTGCGGACTGCCTCAGGTACTCCGTCTGACGGCGGCATCATGCCCCGGTGCATCGACGTCATCTTCAACAGCATCGTCAACTACCAGGCGCGCCGCTACGTCTTCAAGCCAGACCGTCTGAACAGTTTTGACGTGCAGAACGAGGCGGACGCCATGCTGGACCGGCAGCGGGAGATCCTCAGCACACCCAAGCCGGGAAAGACGCCGCGTAAGAGGTGAGCGACTGGGCAGGGTGGCCTTCGCCACGCTGTTAGTGCCGCCGGTCCGATCTCCAGCCGCAAAACCAGCGGCTGGAGGGCATCTGACGTGCTGGTGTGGTGTAGCGCGCTCGGTGCTGGCCGCCACAGGCTTGTACTACTTAAATAGCAAACCATGCGCTGTGGACCCAGTATGCAGAGCCCTCTGCCCAGACTAGGGGGCTAGGGTACCCTTGCTCATGCCTTAAGGCGAGATTTAGGCAAAGTTATATATATACTATATATATATATATATGTATGTATATATAT